AAACTTTCTAATCCAACACATCTAGGGACCGACAAGAATGAGAGGAGAGGACGAACCAGCTATTCTTGATCTGATATTTACCCTAAATGAGTCGGATATAAGGGAAGTTAAGTTGGAAGTCCCCTTGGGAATAAGTGTATTGATCTTTGAGTACCTGGTAGAGCTATCCCCCCCCCCCCCCCATGGGACACAGAACTCAGAACTAAGTCCGTACAAGACATGATGGACTATGTTACCAAAAAGGGTCAGGAGGCAGTAAACAAGTTTACACCCGCCCGAAAGGAAAAACCCAGAAGCAAAAGAAGAATCCATGGTTTAATAGGGCATGTATGGAAGCAAAGGAACTGAACAAAAGGGCGTGGAGGATCTTCCGAAATAACAGAACACCTGAAAGTAGAGAGAGATACCAGAAAACCAGGAATGAGTATGTTAGTGTGAGAAGAGAAGTTGAGAAAAAGTATGAAAATGATATAGCAACAGTGAAGGAACAGGTGATGAAACTTGGATCAGATGAGGTCAAGTACACAGAGAATGACAGAGGTGTGTGAAGAACTGTGTGTGTGTGTGCGCGCGCGTGCGTGCGAACCCTGCCTGACTGTGTGTGCGCGTGCGTGCGTGTGCAGCCCGTCCTGCTGGGAGGGTATTGAACAGCTGTGGACCTCTGATGTTCAGACTGTGTTCTTTGATTGCGTCCCCTGTGCAGCTGATAATTCCCTTACTCAATGCCATGTGCAGCTGAGGAATCCTTTTCACAAGATTGTCGCTTGTTTAGCTAAATGAACTATAAGGGTCAATTCCAGAAGATGAGAGGAAATGTCAGCACTGTGGAGAAATGCCCGACAGACCACTGGAACATTATCTAACACAGTGCACAGTTACAAACCCATTAAGATTTCAACTTAGATTCAACAGAGCAGAAGAAGTTGTCAAACACATGGGACAAAATCTTACTGAAGCGACCATACGAGTCATAAATACTCATACTCCGCCCAAGTAAAACAGAAACAAGCAACACTTAGTGGGCCAGCCAGAGGCTTAGGGCCCGCGCAGGAATATCCCTGCAAAGCAAAAAAACAAAAAAGTTCCTGAACCCATTATGTGCCTCTGTAACCGTGGCCATCATGATATGGGTATGGGGTGCATAATAAATGTATGAAAATGAAAATTATATAATACTTAACGCCATGTGTTATCTTGAGGTTATCTTGAGTTGATTTCGGGGCTTTAGTGTCCCCGCGGCCCGGTCCTTGACCAGGCCTCCACCCCCAGGAAGCAGCCCGTGACAGCTGACTAACACCCAGGTAGCTATTTACTGCTAGGTAACAGGGGCATTCAGGGTGAAAGAAACTTTGCCCATTTGTTTCTGCCTCGTGCGGGAATCGAACCCGCGCCACAGAATTACGAGTCCTGCGCGCTATCCACCAGGCTACGAGGTCCCAAGGATTTTGTTAAGGATTTTTTGTTTTGTTTTTCCGTGATTCCTAGTGGCCATTGGCTTCTGAAGAGTAAGACAAACATAACACAAGCAGCTGCTTGTCAGCCCACAGCGCGGGTCAGGCGCAATATTTACATACTTGTTCAGTGACTAACATGTAAACATTGTGAATGGCCAGAGTTGCTGGTATATAAAGAGGTGGTTGTAGTCTGTCTGTATGACAGTTTAGAAGTCGGTGACCCCAACGATATGTGAGTAGAAGATTCCTTGTCTACTGCACAAGGCAGGTTTCTATATTCTACTCACTCCTCCCTGGGATTTTTGTAGGATGTAATCATACTTTATATATTAAACTGGTAAGTGCCTTTAATATTTACTAGATGTCTGCTATTATTATTCTTGTGTATTGTATGCCTTGAGGACCTTCTTAAGTATAGTGTTCCTTGAGGCCCCTGTTATGTATAGTGTTTCATGGGGTCTCTTCTACGTAGTGTTCCATGGGGTCTCTTCTACGAGTGTTCCATGGGGTCTCTTCTACGAGTGTTCCATGGGGTCTCTTCTACGTAGTGTTCCATGGGGGTCTCTTCTACGTAGTGTTCCATGGGGGTCTCTTCTACGTAGTGTTCCATGGGGGTCTCTTCTACGTAGTGTTCCATGGGGTCTCTTCTACATAGTGTTCCATGGTGGTCTCTTCTACGTAGTGTTCCATGAGGGTCTCTTCTACGTAGTGTTCCATGGGGGTCTCTTCTACGTAGTGTTCCATGAGGGTCTCTTCTACGTAGTGTTCCATGGGGTCTCTTCTACGTAGTGTTCCATGAGGGTCTCTTCTACGTAGTGTTCCATGGGGTCTCTTCTACGAGTGTTCCATGGGGTCTCTTGTACACAGTGTTCCTCGTTGCCTATTATAACCGGCTATTCCTTGAGGCAATGTGCACAGCGTCTCATTGAAGAATGAGGTTGACATGAAGGCAGTCGTTTATAGAACCTTGTAAGACTTAATAATAGTTACAGGTAAGCATGATAAATAATAAGAGTTTGAAGTGCGTTGTGCGTGCCCACATGAGGACGTGATGCAACATTCAGGACCTTGTTGGGCTGTTATGTACTTAATGCACTTATTATGCTACCTGCACTTAAAGATGTGTAGGCATGGTTATTACACACTGAGAAGCTGTAGATAATAACATTGATATAGTTTAATTACCTATTTACCAGGAAGTTATTATGCAAATAGAGAACTAAAGCCCAACTGTTCCCGCGGAGCAGATAGACGAAGTATTGCCAGGCTGCTTAAGGAATGTCAGGACGAACGTAGCGAGCCCCCGTCTTGCATGTTTAATAAACCATTAAGAGTCGAGCAGAGTACCTGAATCGTGAAGGGTTGCAAATGTGGTGCTGGGTTTTAAAAGAAGGAGCTATCGTCCAATTAGTATTGTGTTAGTTGTTGGACAGTTGTTTAATCTATAATGGCAAAAGCCAGATTCACAATCTTGAGGTTATCTTGAGATGATTTCGGGGCTTTAGTGTCCCCATGGCCCGGTCCTCAACCAGGCCTCCACCCCCAGGAAGCAGCCCGTGACAGCTGACTAACACCCCAGGTACGTATTTACTGCTAGGTAACAGGAGCATAGGGTGAAAGAAACTCTGCCAATTGTTTCTCGCCGGCGCCCGGGATCGAACCCGGGACCACAGGATCACAAGTCCAGCGTGCTGTCCGCTCAGCCGACCGGCTCCCGGCTCCACAACTGACAAAATTCACAAAATTCCCTCTCATGTGCAACAAGTTTGTTGTCATTAGAGGGAATTACAGATGGTAGCGATTACAGATGTGTTAGACGACGACACAGTATAGTTGTCATTATTTTCCAGCATGTTTCAAGTTGATTGTGAAAAAGTTGACATTTTATATTTTGACTTTTACCAGAGCGTTTGATACTGAGCCACACAAATGAGTGACTTAACAAAGAAGAGAGGCACATTGTATTGGGAGTGTTATATTACAAGGAAAATTACAGGTTGGATAACAAGGACCTTCCAAGCAAGGGACGCCATACCAGTGATGATACTTTTTCAAGACGCTAGTGCTCTCTAGGGGGGAGCCGGTCGGCCGAGCGGACAGCACGCTGGACTTGTGATCCTGTGGTCCCGCGTTCGATCCCGGACGCCGGCGAGAAACAATGGGCAGTTTCTTTCACCCTATGCCCCTGTTACCTAGCAGTAAAATAGGTACCTGGGTGTTAGTCAGCTGTCACGGGCTGCTTCCTGGGGGTGGAGGCCTGGTCGAAGACCGGGCCGCGGGGACACTAAAGCCCCGAAATCATCTCAAGATAACATCAAGATAGGGTGGAATATTGTTACACACTAACAGCCCTATTCACAGCCGAAGAAATTGCTGACCTAGAGAGCGTTCAAAGATCCTTTACCGTCAGAATCCACTATGTAAGTCATAGTAATTATTCGGACCGATTAAAGCTTCTAAATCTGTATTCTCTAGAGCGCAGGCGAGAGAGATACATAATAATCTACACGTGGAAGATGCTAGAGGGACTGCTTCCAAATTTGAGCACAGAAATAACACCACATGAGACCAGGAGGCATGGCAGGATGTGCAGAATACCCCCGTTGAAGAGCAGACGTGCAACAGGTACTCTGAGGGAGAACTATCAACATCAGAGGCCCGAGACTGTTCAACACGCTTCCACTACACATAAGGGACATAACTGGCCGACCCCTCACAGTGTTCAAGAGAGAACTCTGCAAACACCTCCTAAGAATACCTGATCAGCCAGGCTGTGATTCATGCGTCAGGCAGCGAGCAGCCGCGTCCAACAGCCTGGGTAACCAGGCAACCAACCGGGTCTGGTTATCTCTCAATGTTTGGTAATATGTTTATTGTTTGTGATGTGTGTCTATGTATGTATTAACACGTTGTACTGAACGGGGTGAGAATAGCTTGAGCTACCTCATCCCTTTGTGTGTATTTTACCTCAATAAACTTATTTCAATTTCAATTTCAACCGGGTCTGGGTGGGGGGAGGGATGACCGGAGACCGAGCCGCAGGGCCGTTAATCCCCGAAACCTCCACACGGTAGAGCTATCCTCAGTTGGGTCAGGGCATGATCATTCAAAGTGAACAGAGGGCAAGCTAAAATAATCAGACTCGGGTGATAAACCGGTTCATGAGTAGTGTTCCAGGGCTCCATCCTGAGAACTCTGATGTTTACCCTGTATATATATAGCATTTTTGCTCGAAAATTGAAAAGCTACATTGTCAAATTTGCCCATGTTAAAAATCTGGGAAGGTGCATGAATTAAGAAGACTCAACATTGCTACAGAACGTCGTTGGTATTTAGAAGGGACGAAAGATGGTAGATGCGGTTTAGTACTGACGAATACAGAGTTCTGAGCCAAGGAAATGATAAGTGTGCAGATATCATCTGGACAACGTTGAAATGGACAAATCTGAATGGTTCCACTTGGAGGGATCAGACCTTTAGTAAGGATAGATACGAGATAAAATTGATGTTATCAGTTTATAATATTTAAACAAAATGCAATTTGCTTTAGTAACGGTGCTCGACGGATACATACTGGAACTTGAACGGATGCAACATTCCTGCATTAGTAGCAGCAGCAGTAACGGCAGTAGCAGCAGCAGCATTAGGAACAGCAGAAGTAATAGCAGCATCAGCAGTAGCACTAACAGCAGCAGCAGCATCATTAGCAGGAGGCGGCGGAGTCGTCGTCGCGTCGTTCAGCGCTGCCTCTCCATAACAAGGAATCTTAAGATGAGTGACGGTGAAGCTGTAGTTTAGTCATTCTGGAAGAGGAGGGAGGTAAGTGGGTGGTCGAGGCGGTGGGCGGTGCGTGCCGGATACATCAGGCGCCCGCTCCCCTGGTCCAGGCGTGGGGTAGCCTGATGCGTGGAGCAGGCCTCCCCCACCTCTCTCCTGCGTCGTGGCTTAGCACTTGTTCCACTGCTAGTTGTACACATTCTGGTGACAAACCGCTTCATGTGTAGTGTACTCCATCCTGAGAACTCTGATGTTTACCCTGTATATATATATATATATATATATATATATATATATATATATATATATATATATATATATATTCTGGGGTGTGAGCATTTATAGTGCTCGAATAATTGCATTTTGCTCGAAAATATAAACACGAGGGAGGCTGCTGGAATGTCTGGGGAGGTACAGGTGTGAGGGAAAGAGTATCTGAGAAAAGTAAGTCATAGCGAGATAGCATTTATTTTTGTGGTGATCACTCACTCATACAGCGCTAACCAGCTTATATACATTATCTTGTGGCCTCCGTGGACGCGAATACAGATATCTTACGTCACAATGTAGTGATAGGAAAGGCCAGGGTGGAGACAAGTGACACGTCTCTCTCTGCTCTTGCTTTATATGAATGACCTTCCGGAGGAGATAAGGTCTTGCATGGCAATGTTTGCCATCTATGCAATACTGTGATGGCAAGAGTAAGCAATTAAAGAACATTCATGATACCAAAGGAGGACCTAACAATACTGTGATGGCAAGAGTAAGCAATTAAAGAACATTCATGATACCAAAGGAGGACCTAAATAGAGTACAAGTGTGGCCAGACAATTGGTTACTGCAGTTCAGTTGCAACAAACGGAAAGCAATGAAGTCTGCGAGAAAGAAATGGTGAAGGACAGTTGACTACAAGAGAGGCAGCTAACTAGTCGCATCAGCAGGCACTTAGGGCTAGCGTGAATCATTCACTTCTAGAATATGCATCATCACCATGATGTTCTCACCTTGTGAAGCACAACAAAAAACCCAAGTCAGAAGACTGACGCAAGACTAATGGTGTACATAACAGGTCTGAGATAAAGGAACAGATTAAGAACTCACTCTTAACTCTAGAAGAAAGACTGATCGAAGAGGACATAATCACAACAGTATAATATTGAGAGGAATAGATGAAGACGATAGAGTATTCTACAGATGAGGGCAACTTAAATGAAGGGACACAGATGGAAGTTGGGAACATTAGAGCGTTTACGAAAATGGTCTACTCGTTGAGTCGTATACAATTGAAACTGTTTTGAATGAGAGGGCGTGAAAGCCGTCTCAAATCACAGCTTCAGGAGCAAGAACAGGTACAATAGGTTTGAGTCTACAATGTTGTGCTACACTACAATGTTGTGCTGAATGTAGAACATGGAAAAAACGTTTTACTCTGAAATAATATAATTTTTGAGTCGAAACTAAGTAGCAGGTGATGCCATAAGAAGTCGACGATCCAAGCAACATTGTTGTGCTACTTATGCAAGATATATTGTTGCCTGGAGAGTGTTGCTGGCATATCAGCCTCCTGTACCGTGCCTAACCCAATCTAATCTAACCTCACCTCACCTCCAGGCAACACAATGTATCTCTGATAAGTAGCACAACATTGTTGCTTGGATCGTCGACTTGTTATTGCGTCACCTGCTATTTAGTTTCGACTTATTTCGTTATCAAATTGTATTATTTCAGAGTAAAGATATGTTGTATCATGTTGTACATTCAGCACCAACATTATAGTGAGTAAATATATCATATTTCTTCATTACTTGCGTAATGCCAGAAAGCTTTGGTTAATTAGTTGGACCGCCTCCTATATAGTCTCCCTGCCTACCTTTAATAATAAATTAGAGTCGGGGCCCAAGAACATGTAGACAATTACAACACATCATCATCCGTATACCCCCGCCCACACCCACCCGCCCGCCCACACGTCCAGTCCACCTCCACTCGCCCACCCACACGTCCAGTCCACCTCCTCACACCCACCCGCCCACACGTCCAGTCCACCTCCTCACACCCACCCACACGTCCAGTCCACCTCCTCACACCCACCCACACGTCCAGTCCACCTCCTCACACCCACCCACACGTCCAGTCCACCTCCTCACACCCACCCACACGTCCAGTCCACCTCCTCACACCCACCCGCCCACACGTCCAGTCCACCTCCTCACACCCACCCACCCACACGTCCAGTCCACCTCCTCACACCCACCCGGCCACACACACACACTTGTGTTGAGGGTTCGTGCCTCATAATTGCATTTGTGTTATTTAGGTATTATGAAGACGGTAGAGCGTCATGTAATTACCCAATAATGTTTGATATATTGGTTGTTTAGGGAGATGTGCCCGAACACGGGGGGGGGGGCCGGCCTCCCCGGAGTGGCTGCACGCTAAACATGTCTAGTTGATAACCTATCTCTCAGCCAATGGCTGCTGTAGTCCTATCATTAACAAATAATTTAACTTGGTGTATACAAATATTTGTTAGGTAATTATTGAGTGTTTTGATGCAAGTGTTGCGACACTTGTCTGAGTAGTGGCCGACGCAACACTAAGTGTGTTACGTGTGTGTGTGGGGGGGGAGGGGGGGCGGAGATACCCCTATCACAGGTGCTGGACGTCGCCCTGGGCTGCTCTGGGCAGCGCTGACCATTGACCTGTGCTGGGGGTGAAGGGCTGGCTGGGCTGGGTGTCAGGTGTAGCTCCCGGGGCCCAACTCAAGTCTATTTAAATCCCATTCTGTGAGAAGGTGACCTGGGAGGGTCTTGTGTGAGTGGTTGGGCAGCCTCGCCTCTTAGAGTTTGGGGCTGGTCCAGCTTCCCCAAGTGTCTTGCTAGTTACTTTCCTCCGTGCTGAGACTTTCCTCTGTGCTGAGACTCTCCTCTGTGCTGAGACTCTCCTCTGTGCTGAGACTCTCCTCCGTGCTGAGACTCTCCTCCGTGCTGAGACTCTCCTCCGTGCTGAGACTCTCCTCCGTGCTGAGACTTTCCTCCGTGCTGAGACTTTCCTCCGTGCTGAGACTCTCCTCCGTGCTGAGACTCTCCTCCGTGCTGAGACTTTCCTCCGTGCTGAGACTTTCCTCTGTGCTGAGACTTTCCTCCTGAGACTTTCCTCCGTGCTGAGACTTTCCTCCGTGCTGAGACTCTCCTCCGTGCTGAGACTCTCCTCCGTGCTGAGACTTTCCTCTGTGCTGAGACTTTCCTCCGTGCTGAGACTTTCCTCCGTGCTGAGACTTTCCTCCGTGCTGAGACTCTCCTCCGTGCTGAGACTCTCCTCCGTGCTGAGACTCTCCTCCGTGCTGAGACTCTCCTCCGTGCTGAGACTTTCCTCTGTGCTGAGACTCTCCTCCGTGCTGAGACTTTCCTCTGTGCTGAGACTGCTGAGACTTTCCTCCGTGCTGAGACTGTGCTGAGACTTTCCTCCGTGCTGAGACTTTCCTCCGTGCTGAGACTTTCCTCCGTGCTGAGACTTTCCTCCGTGCTGAGACTCTCCTCCGTGCTGAGACTTTCCTCCGTGCTGAGACTCTCCTCTGTGCTGAGACTTTCCTCTGTGCTGAGACTCTCCTCTGTGCTGAGACTCTCCTCTGTGCTGAGACTCTCCTCTGTGCTGAGACTCTCCTCTGTGCTGAGACTCTCCTCCGTGCTGAGACTCTCCTCTGTGCTGAGACTCTCCTCTGTGCTGAGACTCTCCTCTGTGCTGAGACTTTCCTCCGTGCTGAGACTTTCCTCCGTGCTGAGACTCTCTGAGACGAGAAAAGATGCCGCTCAACATATTGCTGAGGTTCGTGTGTAACGTGACGGAACAAGTGGTCCGTCACGTTGCATCACGTGTTAATGGGGAAGATGATAAGGTGAGCTGTGATTGGTGGAAAGGTGAAGTACCTCCCTTACCAAATGTTCACATTAACCAAAGGATCTGTTTTTGGCTACGATTTGTTTTTGTTGAAGGAGACACTAATGGTGGCGAGTGAGGCTAATGGTTACTAGCAAGAGTTATAATGGTGGTAAAGTATGGGAATAGTAGTCAAATGTTATGAATGGTAATCTGGAGTTAATGATTCAGGTGAGAATGGTGGCAAGTGTGTTGTGTTTGATGAGGGCTGCGTTGGTCTGGTGGGTTATCTTGAGGTTATCTTGAGATGATTTCGGGGCTTTAGTGTCCCCGCGGCCCGGTCCTCGACCAGGCCTCCACCCCCAGGAAGCAGCCCGTGACAGCTGACTAACAGCTGTCTGAGACAGCAATATGGGCGTTACCTCCTCTGGGTAGAGGTAACGCTTCCTACCCAGGTGGGGGAGGGGGCGAATTTACCTGAATTTACCTGAGGGCCACTAACACCAGTGGCCTCGAGGAGGACAGGAAGCCGGAGGCTTGTCAGAGGTGACCTCTGAGCACCACGGGGTGAGCAAGTCAGACATGTATGAAGCCAAGAGTGTTGAAAGTGCGTTGAGTTGGTAGAGATGTGTATAACTGTGATTATGTGGTCGATGTATACACGGGTGATGGATGAATGGTGCGCCAGTTGGGTGATGGATGAATAATGCGGCAGTGGATAATGAAGTAGTATTAGTGGAAGAATGTGGTGTGTGGCGGGACAGCCTTGACCCTCAGAGTGCCGGAGATCAATGCCACAGTGTACCACCCCCCACCCCCCGTGGTCTGCAGGCACTGTCTTAACCCCTCCCTCTCCCCCTCTCCTGGCACCTCGCTCCCTACATGCCCCCCCTACATGCCCCCCCCCTACATGCCCCCCCCTACATGCCCCCCCTACAAGCCCCCCCCCCCTCAATGCCCCCCTACATGCCCCAATCCCCTACATGCTCCAATCCCCTACATGCTCCAACCCCCTACATGCCCCCCCCCCCCTCCGTGCCCCAACCCCCACAGCCAAGCTCACTATATCCTCCAACTTCCACAATGTCCATTTTCAAGAGTGTAGGATCCCTTGATTGTTTCAAGAGTTGGTTAGACATATATATGAATGAGTTTGGGTGGGTATAATTCGGAACTGCCAGGTATGGGCCAATAGGCCTTACTATGAATAGGCTTTATGAATAGGTTTCCTTCATTCTTATGTTCTTAATTAACATGGTGTGTACGCAACCCATCCTCTTAAAAATAACGTCACTTTTAGCTGGTATGCGTCGCTATGGCCAAATTTGGACGTAATTTGAAATGAAATCGACTCACAAAAGTGACGTACTGTCCCGTTTTCTGAGTCGTCCGGCTTACTCGGTAAGGTTAGAAGAGGACACTTTCCTTTAACGTTTTTCATGCCGTTTTGAAACTTTATGAGAATTTCCTGCCCACCTAACCTATCAGAGGACCCTTAATTTACTGTTGTTGAAAAAAAATCCCAAATTTATTTTCTTTTTTTTTCTCATTTTCAAATTACGTCCATATTCGACCATACGGGCAAACGGCCAAAAGCGACGTTATTTTTAACGCAGGGCAGCAGGGCACTCATCACAGGATGAGTGACGCTGCCCAATACTGTCACTATGGTGGTGTGTCCACTCACAGGATGAGTGGCGCTGCCCAATACTGTCACTATGGCGGTGTGTCCACTCACAGGATGAGTGGCGCTGCCCAATACTATCACTATGGCGGTGTGTCCACTCACAGGATGAGTGACGCTGCCCAATACTGTCACTATGGCGGTGTGTCCACTCACAGAATGAGTGGCGCTGCCCAATACTGTCACTATGGCGGTGTGTCCACCCACAGGATGAGTAGCGCTGCCCAATACTGTCACTATGGCGGTGTGTCCACCCACAGGATGAGTAGCGCTGCCTAATAAACTCGCCCCTCGGGGCAAAGTTTAAACAATTAAGTGTATGTTAGTGCTGACGGTAAGCCTTAGGAGATGTGATTGTATGGATATGTTACAGTATTGACCCGTCCTCTGCTCACAACACTGATTGTTGAAGAGTCAGCCACCCAAAAGGTGGCACGGGCATGAATAGCCCGTAAGTACACATGTTGTTTTAGATTCAGCTACTGGGAACAAAAAGTTGCTAGTAGCACGGGCTATGGTGAACCAGTAGTGGACTTGCCTGGCACAGGAGCAGGACTGTAACTTGCGTGTACACAACACACTGCCACAGTGAGTAATGCCTCGTGGTGAGGTGCTGCCACTCATCTTGAGGGAGCCACACGGCCACATTAATCCTCCATACTCTTTACAAACTTAAATATTTTAATTACTGTTATTTAAAGCAAAATTTAATATATTTTTTTTTTTTGCATTTTTTTTTAAGGTGTCGATGTGCGAGTTTGGTGAATGGCGCAGACCCCTGTCGTATATTACCATATATGATGTATATTGACATGTATATTACCAACATTGCCATAACTAACACAAATGTTACCAAGTTATGTGTAGGAAGTTGGTGGTGGTTCGTGTTGGTCCGTCGTGAGCCCCGACCATCTCTCTGTATTATGCTGCATGCTGCAGACCCGCCTCACGCACCCGCCTCCTGGTCATGGGGGGGGGGGGGCAGGTGTGTCAGGTGTGGAGACATGGTAGGGGGGGGCAATGACAAACATGATGAGAAAGAAGAATTGAATAGTGAAATGTTAGAAGGTAGCTGCCTATCGCCCACTGCTTTCAAGATAGATTTAGCTGACCTGCCCCTTCGCCAACTCGGGCAGTGTATTGAATTGTATTGTACAATTGTACAATATAATTGTATTGTTCGGTGTATTGAACCCAATACATCACATGCGCTGATGACGCAATCCAGATAATGTGCCAACCACGACAAAGTCCTAACTGGCCAACAAAACAAAGGCAGCAATTGAATTCACAAACAACTTTGAATGGCAACGGAAGATAAGTAGCAACAAAGAATAGTTCCAAATAATACACATTTGGAACAAGAAAGTCGGTGCTCCTTATCTTTGACAACCGTCCAGTCCAACATAGAGGTGCAGGTAGAGTACTGGGACTCAACACTAACAGGACGGGGGATCAAGTATCACATACATGACAGAATAAACAAGCAGAAGCAGCCTTTGGAAACCTGAGGAGGGAGCCGGTCGGCCGAGCGGACAGCACGCGGGACTTGTGATCCTGTGGTCCTGGGTTCGATCCCAGGCGCCGGCGAGAAACAATGGGCAGAGTTTCTTTCACCCTATGCCCCTGTTACCTAGCAGTAAAATAGGTACCTGGGTGTTAGTCAGCTGTCACGGGCTGCTTCCTGGGGGTGGAGGCCTGGTCGAGGACCGGGCCGCGGGGACACTAAAAGCCCCGAAAGCATCTCAAGATAACCTTCCGTAGCACAAGCACACAGTCACACTTGTATAAGGCTGGAGTCGGGCCTTGTGGTGGTTGTAGATCCAGTACCACTACATACCTTAGAGAAAACTAACGTGCAAGGAAAAGAGGCGTTGCGTACTGTATCAAAGGCTTTTTGGCAGTCCAGAAATATGCAGTCTGCCATGCTTCTCTGCCCTGCCTTATTCTTGTTACTTTATCATATAATTCCAGAAGGTTTGTTAGGCATGATTTCCCTTCTCTGAACCCATGTTTGTGTTTGTTTACATTCTTAATGTTCTCGAGGTGTGTAACCAGTCTTAACCTGGTTGATGGGAGTTCTTCTACTCCCCAAGCCCGACCCGAGGCCAGGCTTGACTTGTGAGAGTTTGGTCCACCAGGCTGTTATGGAGCGGCCTGCTGGCCCACATACCCACCACAGCCCGGTTGGTCCGGCACTCCTAGTTTTGTCTTGAAGATGTCCACGGTTGTTCCAGCAATATTTCTGATGCTCGCTGGGAGGACGTTGCACAACCGTGGACCTCTGATGTTTATACAGTGTTCTCTGATTGTGGCTATGGCACCTCTGCTTTTCACTGGCTCTATTCTGCATTTTCTTCCATATCGTTCACTCCAGTATGTTGTTATTTTACTGTGTAGATTTGGGACCTGGCCCTCCAGTATTTTCCATGTGTATATTATTTGACATCTCTCTCGACTCTAGCGAATACATTTGGAGAGCTTTGAGACGATCCCAATAATTTAGGTGCTTTACCGCGTCTATGCGTGCCGTTATATATGTTCTCTGTACTCTCTCCATTTCAGCAATCTCTCCTGCTCTGAAGGGGGAAGTGAGTACTGAGCAGTACTCAAGACGAGACAACACAAGTGATTTGAAGAGTACAACCATTGTGATGGGATCCCTGGATTTGAAAGTTCTCGTAATCCATCCTATCATTTTTCTGGCTGACGCGATATTTGCTTGGTTATGCTCCCTAAACGTTAGGTCGTCAGACATCATTATTCCCAAATCCTTTACATGTTGTTTTCCTACTATGGGCAGATTTGATTGTATTTTGTACCCTGTATTATGTTTAAGGTCCTCATTTTTGTCGTACCTGAGTACCTGGAATTTATCACTGTTAAACATCATGTTATTTTCTGTTGCCCAGTCGAAAACTTTATTAATATCTGCTTGAAGTTTTTCAATGTCTTCAGCAGAGGTAATTTTCACGGTGATTCACGCAGGCATCCTGTTCTCTGGGAAATGGTCGGGGTGTTACATCAACGTAACCAACGTTACAAATGAAACCTTTTAAGAAAATTAACGGCTTTACAAATATTCACGTTTTCTGTGTTTCGAACATGATTGGTTGGGTTGGTCGAATACTTATGCTTTTGCCTAGGCTAAAAGGTTAGATTGTTTACGGAGTGGCAAGTGGAGAGGTGGTGGTGGTTGTTGATCTGATGTGATTGTTTATTGTTCACCCCATACTCATCCTGTGAGCGGTAGCGC